TCTGCCCGATGATTTAATGAAGACGGTGGTGGTGCCGCTTATGAAAAACAAGACGGGGGATGTGTCCGACAAGAACAATTATAGACCCATATCGTTGGCCACTTGTATGGCAAAAGTGCTGGATGGTTTGCTTGATGACATATTGACTAAACACCTTAAAATACATGATGCACAGTTCGGGTTCAAGCCTGGACTCTCTGCAGAGTCTGCGGTGTTATGCCTCAAGCATACTGACCGGTATTACACGGACCGACGAACACCAGTCTAGGCGTACTTCCTCGACTTGTCCAAGGCCTTCGATATGGTCTCGTATGATGTGCTTTGGCACAATTGCGTTGTGGGACAGACCTCAGACTCAGGTATAATGTTAGCATAAGCAAAAGTGAGCTTCTAGTATTTAAGCCGCGGGGTGGAGTAGTGGGCGTTCTACCGCCGGTCTCCCTATGTGACTGTGAGCTCGTGAGAGTGTTCAAATTTAAATACCTGGGTCACTGGGTGACTGACGATTAGTCCGATCTGGTGGACATTGAAAGAGAGCGGAGAGCACTCGCGGTAAGAGCAAAAAGCTTGCCCGGAGGTTTACACGTTGTAGTAAAGAGGTCAAATTAACGCTTTTTAAAGCACTCTGTCAAACCTTCTACACGTGTAGCCTTTGGGTGAAGTATAGTAAGGCGACCCTAAACACTTTGAGGGTGCAGTATAACTATTATATTTTATTAGATTACCATTATATTTTATTAGTACCTCATTAGTAGTCTCACTCAACAATTTGAAGAAATAATACTTTCTTCAAATTGTTTAACCTATTAAGGTGGCAAATTAGGGGATGAATGCGGTTTATTAGACTTCATCCACTTTCCCTTAGCCGACTTCAATAAAACTTTGCAACTAGATTTTTTTTTATAATATCAAGTGACGGGACGTACAAGTCGTGGGTTTGGTGGTAAGCGACACGCCTGGCCATAACAGTTGCAGTGACACTTAAAGATCTGAAGGGCACTGCCACTGCGCCCGTCACCCTGAGACATAAGTTGCAGCGCTCTTCGTGGATGTGAAATATCAAGTTCATAAGAAAAATTACTATATTTTCCGTAACTGACCACACGTTCCTCAACAATGTAGTATAATCACTTTATGTAAGTAATTTCCTCGTCGAGCCTTTCGGACTCTTGCACACCACTCGACTGAGCACCGGCCGGTTCCGCCACCCCGACCCTCTACTCAACCTTACTTTTTAGTAGCAGGTTTCGGCCACGGAGTTGTTGTTGTTGTTGTATTTTTAATTTGCCACCTATAGAGATGGTATATTTTCTTCAACTTTAAGTGGGACCAAATACTGAAGTACCCTCTTTCCAATAAACAAAAAAGTCATCAAAATCCTTTTTTTGAAGTCGGTTAAAAAACATTTTTTTTCCATTCGATCCGTATGGAACAGGCGAAGGTCAGATACTATACTGCCTAGCCATTAGTTTCTCTTTAATAATAATAATAATAATAATAATAGTAATAGTAACAGCAACAGCAACAGCAACAGCAACAGCAACAGCAACAGCAACAG